TTTTTTTTTTTTTTTTTTTTTTTTTTTTTAATCTTAAGTAACTGGGTCTGAATTAGGCCCTGTCTGGGCCTCACTCTGAGCTGAGCTTTGCAGATGGGCCCTGCTGGGTCTCTGTGCAGGGTTCCAGGGCATTCCCAATCCTGGGATAGGCATTCCCAAAGCTGGGATAGGCATTCTACCCTTCCCATCCTGGGATATGCATTCCCAAAGCTGGGATAGGCATTCCCAAAGCTGGGATACCCTTCCCAAAGCTGGGATACCCATTCCCAAAGCTGGGATACACATCCCCAAAGCTGGGATACCATTCCCAATCCTGGGATAGGCATTCCCAAAGCTGGGATACCCTTCCCAAAGCTGGGATTCTCTTCCCAAAGCTGGGATAGGCATTCCCAAAGCTGGGATACCCTTCCCAAAGCTGGGATACCCATTCCCAAAGATGGGATACCCATTCCCAGTCCTGGGATAGGCATCCCCAAAGATGGGATACCCATTCCCAATCCTGGGATACACATTCCCAAAGCTGGAATACCCATTCCCAGTCCTGGGATACCCTTCCCAAAGCTGGGATACCCTTCCCAAAGCTGGGGTGACACAGAGTGGTTCCAGGTCCCACTCCCGTTGTCTCCCTGCTCCCTCACGCCCTGGATTTGCTCCCGATTCCGAGGCTGGGCTCAAATCCAAGGTGTTGCATCAGCATCCCCCCACTGCTGTGCCCAGCCCTGACCACGTGGAGTCCTGCTGGGCCAAAGCTCAGCTTAATTCTCTGCTGAGCCAGCAGTGGGGCTTAAAAAACCCAGTGTCCCCCGAGTCCAGCGTCACCCAAACCCTGCTGGGCTCTGACTGCTCACCAGGGACTCCAGGCTCTCTCCTGACTTCTGCTGTGCCCAGCAGTGCTGGAATGTTCCCCAGGCCCGGCTGACACATCCCAGTTTAAAAGCAGGAAGTGTCTCCCGGGTGAAAATCCAGCTCTGAGCAGGGTGAAAGAAGCTGCTCCAGCTGCTGGTTTTTGCTGATAAATTCACATTCTGCTGCTTTAAAAATGAATCAGTAAAAGCAGCCAGGCCTGGGCACAGCCAGCTCTGTGTGGAATATTCCTGGGAAATGACGGGGCTGCTCCAAGGGATGGTTTCTTTGTGGATTTTTTGCCCTTCCTGCTACTATGAAACATTGTGATCCCAAAAAAAAAAAGGGATTTAATTTAGGTCTCAGGGCAGGTTGGACAGGGCTAATTCCAAAAGAAGCCTCCAGCTGCTGCAGTTGGAAGGTGGCACCTCCTGAAATCCCACCCAAAACACCACACGTGGAGTTTACCACTGCTCATGGGGAACAACCAGGAATTTTCTGGGACTTCTGCTGCAGATTGAACACTTTTTGCCTTCATTCTCCTCCTGCAGACGTGCAGAAGCAGTACGAGTGTGCCAATTTTGGGGAGCAGGGGATCACGGTTGGCTGCTGGGACGTTTATCGGCACGACATCGACTGCCAGTGGATCGACATCACCGACGTCCCCCCCGGGGATTACCTCTTCCAGGTGGGACAGACAGCATTCCTGACACCCCCACTGCTTCTATCTTACCAGTCAGAGCCAGAATTTACCACATTTGTGCATTTGACACCTCCAACTTCTGTTTATAAAGGGATTCTATTCCCAGATGCCTTAAAGACAAAGGATTATCCACCAGGATAATCAACAAACACTTCCAAGGGAAAAATCAGGGCCATGAGCACAGTTTGGAGATTAAAGTCTTAAAAAGTCCATGTCCAGCTAATCCTGGCTAGGCCCAGCCCAGCTGATGTTGCTGACAGTGTTGTCACACCCCCAAAGCACAGCACCCCTCATGGAGCTGCTTGTAATCAACATTCCCTGAACTTTGGGATTAAATGGTGCCATTTGTGGGGTTTCTGCAGGAATTTGGGCCAGGACCATGGGGGGAATTGTCTGGGTTCAGAAACAGCCACTGGCACTGGGGAGGAGGGAAAGGAGAGGAATTATTTCTGTCTGTGAAATGGGAAGTGGGGGTTTGGAGGGAGATTTTGGGGTTTGGAGGGACAGGACACAGGGAATGGCTCCCACTGGGAAAGGGGAGATTTGGGTGGGATATTGGGAAGGATGATGGTGGGGAGGGGCTGGGATGGAATTTTCTGGATCCATGAAATGCCCAAGGCCAGGCTGGAGCCCCCTGGGACAGTGGGAGGTGTCCCTGCCATGGCAGGGGTGGCACTGGATGGGATTTCAGGTCCTTCCATCCCAACCATCCCAGGATTCCCTCACTGATCCTTTACTCCCCGACCCGGCTTTATTCAAGTCATTTCTCTCTCCTTACAAAGCACATCGTATTTTCATTTTTTGCTAACAAAATGCTGTAAAGCACAACTGATGCTGCCCAATCCCCCTTTCAACACCCCCACCCCTCCCAGGTGGTGATCAACCCCAACTACGAGGTGGCAGAGTCGGATTATTCCAACAACGTCATGAAGTGCCGGAGCCGCTACGACGGGCAGCGCATCTGGATGTACAACTGCCACATAGGTGAGGCTGGAATCCTCCAGCAGGCCCCAAGGATTCCCCTCAAATAAGGAATTTAATGCTTTCCCCCCCTGAAAAGCTCTGGTGCAATCCCAGTGTCCTGGGAAATTCCTTCTGCCCAAAATCAAATTATTTTGCCAAGCTGGGATCTCTTCGGATCTCTTGGAAAACAAATGAAGCAGTGGGAGAGGGTCTGCTGTAGCAGGCAGGAATGAAAATGTTCCTGGAATGTCAGGGGAATCTCTGTTTCCCTGGAAAAATTTAAAATATTATCATTTTGTATTTTTCTTTTTGGTCGTGGAAATATCAAAGCCAAACTAATTTAAATTTGGATTATTCCATTGTCAAAACCATTGAAATGGAATTAACTTGGGGGCTTTTTAGGACTGTTTTTGCCACACAAAATGAATTCACACAACTCCCTGCCCAGCTCCAAGTAAAACCAGCTTTGAAAATTCCCTTCTTCAATGAATGTTTTTCCTGGAAAAAAAAATCCAGATTTTTCTCATTATTTTGTTGGGATTTCAATGGAAAATTCTCATTTTGTGTGTCACATTTCAGACTGTGACCTAGTTCAGGAAAGTGAAGCCCATTCCAGCTGCTGCTTGGGCTCTGCAGCTGAGCTGGGAGATATTTCTGGTTAAAAACAAAGGTTTAAACTTTCACTTTGTCCTAATTAGAGAAAAATTAGGGTTTGGTTCTGGCTCAGAGCAGAGCCCTCACCCCTCACAGGCCTCGTTGGGCCTCACTTTATTTTTTAAGCACCAAACCAGCGACATTTGGGTAATTCAGTCTTGCAAATCCACATCCAGCCCTCCTGGGGCCTCCTGCATGTGCCAGTTAGGGCAAGATTTAATTAAAACTTCATTTAATTAACCCCAAACCTTTAAGGCCTTCATTTCCAGGGCACTGGTTCCACCCAATCCCAGTGTTCCCAAGGGTTTTTCCTTCTCCCAGTGTTCCCAAGGGTTTTTCCCTGCACAGGTTTTTCCTGTGCTTTCCTGGTGTTCCCAAGTGGTTTTCCCATTACTTTCCCAAGGTTCCCAAGTCCTTTTCCCTCTCCCAGTGTTTCCAAATCCTTTTCCCTGCTCACCCCAAGCTCTCCTGGTGTTCCCATGGGGTTTTCCCTCTCCTGGTGTTCCTGACTGGTTTTCCTGTGCTCACAATGGTTTTTCCTGGGCTCTGCCCCTGTTCCCAAGGGTTTTTCCCATGCTCTCCCCATGTTTCCAAGGGTTTTTCCCTCTCCCAGTGATTCCAAGTGTTTTCCCTGCACTCATCCAGTGTTCCCAAGGGTTTTTTCCATGCCCTCCCCATTTTCCAAAGGCTTTTCCCTCGCCTGGTGTTCCCAAGTGCTTTGCCCTCTCCCAGTATTCCCAAGTGTCTTCCCTCTGCTCTCCCCATGTTCCAAAGGGTTTTTTTCCATGCTCTCCCTGTATTCCCAAGTTTTTCCCTCTCCTGGTATTCCCAAGCACTTTTCCCTGCTCACCCTTTCCCAATGTTCCCAAGTGTTTTTCCCATGTTCTCTTGGTGTTCCCAAGGGTTTTTCCCTCTCCCAGTATTCCCAAGTGTTTTCCCTGTGCTCTCCCCACGTTCCCACAGGTTTCTTCCATGCTCTCCCCATGTTCCCAAGAATTTTCCCCTCTCCTGGTGTTCCCTGCACTTTCCCAACGTTCCCAAGTGTTTTTCCCATGTTCTCTTGGTGTTCCCAAGGGTTTTTTCCATGCTCTCCCTGTATTCCCAAGAGTTTTCCCCTCTCCTGGTGTTCCCTGCACTTTCCCAACGTTCCCAAGTGTTTTTCCCATGTTCTCTTGGTGTTCCCAAGGGTTATCCCCTCTCCCAGTGCTCCCAAGTACTTTTCCTGCACTCTCCCAGTGTTCCCAAGGGTTTTTCCCTCTCCCCACGTTCCCAAGTGTTTTCCCTGTGCTCTCCCCCTGTTCCCAAGGGTTTTTTCCATGCTCTCCCAGTGTTCCTAAGGGTTTTTCCCTCTCCCCACATTCCTGAGTGTTTTCCCTGTGCTCTCCCCACGTTCCCAAGTGTTTTCCCTGTGCTCTCCTGGTGTTCCCAAGGGTTTTCCCTGTGCTCTCCCAGTGATCCAGGTCTTTTTCCCTCTCCCAGTGTTCCCAAGGGTTTTTCCCTGTCCCCACATTCCCAAGTGTTTTCCCTGTGCTCTCCCCATGTTCCCAAGGGTTTTCCCCGTGCTCTCCCAGTGATCTAGGTCTTTTTCCCTCTCCCAGTGATCCCAAGGGTTTTCCCCGTGTTCCCAAGTGCTTTTCCCAGCCTCTCCCAGTGCTCCCAGTGCTTTTCCCAGTCTCTCCCAGTGTTCCCAGTGCTGTTCCCAGCCTCTCCCAGTGCTCCCAGTGCTTTTCCCAGTCTCTCCCAGTGTTCCCAGTGCTGTTCCCAGCCTCTCCCAGTGCTCCCAGTGCTTTTCCCTGTCCTGCTGACCCCTCTCTCCCCGTGGCCCCTCCAGGCGGTTCCTTCAGCGAGGAGACGGAGCAGAAGTTCGACCACTTCAGGGGACTCACAAATAACAACGTGGCTGCCCGGTAGAATTCCCACTAATTTAAGGAAGCCAGGACTCCTGCCCCGGCCCTTCCCGAACCACTGCACCCCAGGAAATGGAGCCTCCACCAAACTCTGAACTTCGGGTGAATCATCCCTGAAGAAGCCTCCCCCTCCCCAGTTTAGGTGCTCAGGCCACCCCTCGGTGCCTCCTGCAATTCCAGCTCTCCTCAGCTCCAGCTCTTCACCATTCCAAAGATTTCTCCCACATTTTGCAGCACTCCTCGCCTCAGGTTGGGCGCCAGCCACCCCAAAGTGCCTTTATCCTTCACTTCCAAGGCATTATTTGGGAATTCTCAGCTCTTTTCCACTCCTGATGCCCATTTGTGCTGCTGCTTCCTGCACTCCTCCTCAGCACTGACTCCAGTTTAGCAAGGAAATAGAAAGGAAGGAAAAATTTAAAAAAAAAGGAAAAAACAAACAGGAAAAAAAAAAAGGAGCAGCTTTTTGTGAGCACAACAGTGTAAAGCTGAATTTAATACTGCAGTGAAACGCTTGGATCCAACAACGGCCGCGCTCCGGAGGGGAGCAGAACGTGGAATTTCACAGGGAATCTCACAGGGAATCTCATTTGGAATTTCACAGGGAATTTCACATGGAATCTCACAAGGAATCTCATTTGGAATTTCACAGGGAATCTCACAGGGAATCTCATATGGAATCTCACATGGAATCAAAGCTCCCTGAAGTGACCCCGAACTCAGCAGATTCCCAGGGATGAGGCCTCTGGGCTGGAAATTCCCATCCCACAGGGATCCTCCACCCACCAGGTGCTGTGCCCATCCAAGAATCACCTCCTGGCTGCATTTTCCATCTTTTTTTCGAGGATGAATGATCCCTGTGCACCTTGCAGAGGGAATTTCTGCCTCTCATCCCCAAGGATCTCCTCCTGTGGGAATTCCCGGTGCTCCTCTGTTTGTTTGAGGACACAGAGCTCCAATAAAATCCATTTCCCTGGAAACAAAAAATCACTTTGGAAGCCCTTGGCGTATTTCTCCTCACAATTCCTGGAAGTTTGGGGGTTTCCCCCCCTCTTCTAAGATCAAAGTTGTCTGGAATTCCAGCTGATTCCACAGGGGATTCCAAGTGGCTGCAAACTTGCCCCAAACCCCACCTCACAGGGATGTTGTGAGGCTTCGAAATGCAGAAATATTTTGAGTATTTGTCATTTCTCCAGTGCCCCAGAGGGCGGCTGGCAAAGGGTTTTAACCCCTGGCAATGATAAAATTCCAGTTTTTCCTCAGAATTCCAGACTGCAGCACGAGCAGAGCCTGGGATGGGGCTGGAAGCTCATTTTAAACCCAGCTCTGGGCACACAGGAAAATCCTAATGAGCAGATCCCAACTTTCCTCACCAACAGGGAAGTTCAGGCTCTTGAGACTCTGTAAATAAGTAAAAAATTCCCTAAAGCTTGGATTCACTGCCTGTCAGTTTTCTGGGATATATGAACAGCAACATTACAACAAACGTGGAACAGATTTCTGAACTCCTGCCCTTGCTTAGAGTTGAATTTTGGCCCCAAAAAAATCCTATTTTTCTTACTCTTAATGCCTATTTTTTGTTGGAAAACAGAGCAGGAAGAAGGAATAAAGAAACCACCTCATTCCTGCAGGTGCCCCAGCTGCTTCGAAACACCCAACAAAGAATTCCAGCACTTCCCAGGGCTCCAAAAAACCCCGAACAAGAATCCCCACTCCCAACTCTCCCTAAAGGAACAGCCCCGTGGCACTGCCTGCTCCGCATGCATTTAATAGCACAGCCATGCTCATCTTTACAGCCTTGGTTTGGGTTTTTTGGGATTATTCCTCCTGCTCCAAGGGTTCTGGCTGGAAATCCTCGTGCTGCCGGTGCCTCCAGCCCAGGGCGTGGGACACGAGCCTCCGGGCCACCGCCGCGTCCGTCTGCGGCCTCTCCTTGCCCAGCTGCAGCAGCTCTGGGGACAAAAGGGAAACACTGACCCAGCTGGGGCACGGGCAGGGGGGAATTCCTGCTTAAAATCCCAAAAATCAGCTTTTTTCCCTGCTGTTTCATTCGTTTATCCACATCAAATCTTTCTGTCGCGGTGAATAAATTGGGATTTTTTTCAGGATGATGGAATTTCATATTCCATATTTTACATTGTGTGGTCATCATAAAGGTTCAGGGCTCTTCTGCTGTGTGGAAAACTGGTCCCCATCCTTTTCCAGAAATTATTCCTGGCAAAATTCCCAACATCCCATCCCTGTGAACTGACAAAATTCCCAACATCCCATCCCTGTGAATTGACAAAATTCCCAACATCCCATCCCTGTGAACTGACAAAATTCCCATCCTTTCCATGCCTGGAAACACCCAGGCAATTTATCCATTTATCCAACTGAAACTCCTCAAACCAGCTGCCAAAACTCTTAGAAAACAGCAAGGAAAATTTAAAAAAATCTGCATTTTAAATCATATGTAAATATTTCAGATAATTTGGGAAGCCCCGTGGTCAGTGCCCTCCATTTCTTGGATTGCTGCAGTTCCATCTGCAAGGAAATCCACCAGAATTTCCACAATAATTTAGATATGGGGATTAATTAATTAATTAATCCTTCATCAATTTGCAGTTGTTGTCTACACAGCAAGAGGGGCTTTCTTTGTTTTTCCAGAAGTTTCATTCATTAAGGGGAAAAAAATTCATTAATTTTTTTTTTTAAAGAGACACTGTCAGCTAATAAAAATCCAAATTTGTTGAAACTGGATACCAACAGAATTTATGTTTAATTATTACATTTAATTATTAATTAATTAATTATTAAGAAATAATAAATTTAAAATATTTCTATTTTCATTTAACCTGATTCAGAATAGTGAATAAATGAAAAAAAAAACAAAACAGATGAAGGGGAGATGCAAATAAACCAAATTTTTGGATGTTTCCTTTAAATGCAGCAGTGCTGACACTCAGGAATTTGTCACTGTGACAGTGTCCCTTTAAAGCACTAAAATTGGAATTTGTTCTGACTGCAGTGAGCTGGAAAATGCCAGGAATTGTTGCTTCAGAGTCTCTGCTGCTGCTGAGGTTCATGGCTTTGCTTTCCTGTGGCAACTGGACCTGATCAATGTGATTGAAAGGCAATGAAATCAATCAATCAATAATCAATCAATGGTAATCAATCAACTGATGTTCACGGCTCAGCTTCACCATTTCTCCTTCCTGAATAAAATTATGCCAACCACAAGATTGGCTTTGTCTCCTTTGGATTGCCAGGGGGAGAGGGAAGAGAAAATTCCCCAGGAATTTGATGGCTCTGCCTGGCAAAAAATCCCAATTCCAGCCCAACCCTTCCCTTCCAGCTGCCCAAAAGAGCAGCAAATTACACCAAAAAACCAGAATTAAATCTGAATTCCAGCAAAATTCCACACCACAGCTCAGTGCCAGGAAATCCACAAAAAACCCAACCAGAAAAATGATGGAATCTGTCATCTGGACCAGGAGAAGTGGGGTGGATTTAGGAATTCTGCCTTACTTGGTCTCTGCAGGGCCTTGAGCTTGGCCTGTTTGCTGGCGTGGATCAGGGGCCGGATCTTCAGGCAGGGGAAACGGCGGCCCAGGGCCTGGGAGGCTGCAGGAAAAAAGGGAATTCACCCCAAAATTCACATCAGGGCCTGGGAGGCTGCAGGAAAAAAGGGAATTTACCCCAAAATTCCCATTAAGCTGTGCTGGAAGCCCGGGCACAGGGGAGATTTCTCTGCCTGTCCTGACCCCCAGCAGAACTCTGCCTTTAACTCCAGCCATGGAGAAAGCTCCCAAGGCTTTGGGATGAGCTGGGATCCACGAGTGTGAAACAGATCGTGGTGTGGCTGATCACAGTGAGAACTTGGGGGTTTTGGTGTGGAAAAAAAGTTTAGTATGGAAAAATTTAATATGGAAAAGAAAGTTTAGTATGGAAAAAAACGTTTAGTATGGAAAAAGTTTAGTATGGAAAAGAAAGTTTAGTATGGAGAAAGTTTTTAGTACAGAAAAAAGAAGTTTATTATGGAAGAAAAAGTTTAGTGTGGAAGAAAATGGTTAGGATAAAGGAAAAATTTAGTAGGAAAGAAAAAGTTTAGTATGGAGGAAAATGTTCAGCATGGAGGAAAAAGTTTAGGATGGGAAAAAATGTTTAGGATGGGAAAAGTTTAGGATGGAGGAAATGGTATAGAAGTTTAGGATGGAAAAAAAATTTAGTGTGGAGGAAAAAATTCAGTATGGAGGAAAAAGTGTTTAGTATGGAAGAAAAATTTAGTATGGTAAAAGCTTATTATGGAAGAAATGGTTTAGTGTGGAAGAAAAAGTTTAGGATGGAAAAAAATTCAGTGTAGAGGAATAAGTAGGATGGAGAAAAAAGTTTAGGGTGGAAAGAAAAGTTTAGCATGGAAAAAGTTTAGTATGGAGGAAAAAGTTTAGTATGGAAGAAGTTTAGTATGGAAAAAAGTTGAGTATGGAAAAAATGTTCAGTGTGGAGGAAAAAGTTTAGTGTGGAAAGGAAAGTTCAGTGGAAAAAAAAAGTTTAGCATGGAAAAAATTTAGGATGGAGGAAAAGTTTTGTATAGAAGGTTTAGGATGGAAAAAAGTTTAGGATGGAGGGAAAAGTTTAGGGTTTTCAGAATGGAGGTGGGCAGGACACAAGATGGAGGATTTTGGGCATTTTCTGATCTCCTCCTTGTTCTTCACCTGCTCCATTTCTGCATTAGATTGTGACAGTGATTCATTAGAACAGAAAAAGTTTCCACAATGGTACAAAAATCCTGTCCATTCCTCATTCCTAACACAAAATTCTTTAAAGATCTCAAAAAAAAAAACAGAAAAAGTTTCCACAATGGTACAAAAATCCCGTCCATTCCTCAATCCTAACACAAAAATCTTTAAAGAACACAAAAAAACCCCAAAACAAGTTTCCAGACTGGTACAAAAATCCCGTCCATCCCTCACTCCTACCACAAAACTCCTCAGAGATCTCCCCACCAAAAACTCCCCCAAAAGCACAAACCCACTCCGTGACCCCAGCGTTTGCTCGGGGCTGAGGTCACGGTGGGAACCTCAGCAGCAACCCCAAAAAACAGGAAAAAAAGGGGTTTTTAAAAGAATTTTGCACTTTGAGAGGAAATCCCAAGTAAAAGAGCAGAACCTGCTGGGAGGTGAGAGGAGCCCCAGGGCTGGCTCTGGGCTCCCCTGGGCTGTTTGTCCTCCCAAAAAAATGAGTTTATCCGGATTTGTGGTGCCATCCCCACTCCCAGTATCCCTGGGAGGTGATGGAAGTTCACTGGATTTTTTTCAAGTCATAAAAGACAAAAAATGGGGGGAAAAAAGTGAAAATCCACTTTATTATCATTATTGTTACTAGTTATTTCTAAGAGTGCACACAGCTGCAGCCAAGGCAATTAAAAACCAGTTTCCATATTCCAGCTTCCCAAAACCCTTCCAGGATGGAAAGGAGCAGGAAAAAAAATTAAAATAAAATTTAAAAAAATAAAATATGAAAAAATAGAATATAAAATAAATAAAATATAAAAAGTAAAATTAAATAACAATTTAAATAAAATATAATAAAATATAAAAATATTTAAATGAAATACAAAAAGTAAAATATAGACAAATAAACGATAAAAATATTTAAAATAGAATAGAATAAAATTTAAAATAAAATACAAAAATAAATATTAAAATATATAAGAAATTAGAATAAAATAGAATAAAATAAAATAATAGAATAATAGAACAGAATAAAATAGAATAAAATAAAATAGAATAAAATAGAACAGAATAAAATAGAATAAAATAAAATAGAATAAAATAGAACAGAATAAAATAGAATAGAATAAAACAAATAAAATAAAATAAAATAAAATAAATCCCTCTGCCCAGCAGCTGAGGGCACTGGGGAGCTCTGGGTGCCCCAATCCCACCCCCAGTACCTGTGGAGAGGCTGGAGAAGATTCCCAGGGCATGGGTATCATCCACCCACTGGATTTTGAAGCCGCTCTCGCTGCAAGAAAAGAGAATAATTTGAATTAATGTCAAGAAAAACGAAGCCCAGACAAAACCCAGCAGCCCAGGAGGGGTTTTCTGTGGGTTGTGGAGTTTCCCAAAGCATTATTCCCATTTTAAATGGGGAAAGGGCAGGAAAAGAAGGGAAAAAGGACATTAAATGTGAAATTACCCCAAATTCTCCTTTTCCTCTCAAACCCAACCTCAGTTGCAGGGATTGGCTTCTAGCACCAAAATATTGACATTTCTGAAGTGCTCCCCAGGCATAAAAATAAAAACCAAGGGATTTATGAAGTGATTTTGGGTTGAAATCTCAAAAAGAGTCAGTGGGAAATGGGAATTTGAGAGCAGGCATTCAAAAATATTCCTAATATTCAATATTCAATCCTAATAAACTAAAAAATATTCAAAAATATTCCAGTCCTAGTGGATCTGTCCTTTTCCAGCTCTGCTTCACTTCCAGAGAGTAGAAAAAGAAATTTGAGGAAGCACACAATGCAGGAAGAATTATTTAAATATTATTAAAATATAAATTTAAACCATTAAATACAAATTATTCTTTCAAAGAACAATTTAAATATCATTTTAAAATGTAGTTTATTTGGTTTAATTGAAGGGATCTGTAGAAGGAATTTTCCCATCTAATCCAGGAATTATCCAAAGAGAGGGGGAGAAAAACAGGAGACGAATTCAAGAGCTGCCCTCACTGAAGAATTACTTAAAATATAGTTTTAAATAATAATTTAAATATAATTTTTAAATGTAATTTATTTATTTATTTGGTTTAATTGATCTCTAGAGGGAATTTTCCCATCTAATCCAGGAATTGTCTCAAAAGAGGGGGAAGAAAACAGGAGTAGAACTCAGCTCCGCCCTCACTGAAAAATGATTTAAAATATAATTTTAAAGAATAATATGATTTTAAAATGTCGTTTATTTGGTTTCATTGAAGGGATCTGTAGAGGGAATTTTCCCATCTAACCCAGGAATTATCCAAGAGAGGAAAACAGGGAAAGGTGCCTTTTACAGAACTCAGCTGTGCCTCACTGAACCTGGCTCTGTCTCCAATCCAAGCTCATTCCCCGGAATTCCCCAATTGCATCCCAGGACTGAGCCCTTCTCCTTGGAAACTCTGATGGAATCACTCAGGAGCCAACAAAAATGTCTCCAAAAAAGCACCAAATATCTCCACCTGGATGGAGCCAGCCAGGCCTGGCTGTGGAGAACGGGGGGGCAGAGCCTGGGGTAAAGCTGGGCTTTAAACCAGGCCTAAACTGCAGGAAAAGCTGAGGGGAAGGTGAAACTAAAATTCAGAATTTGGGTGCCAGAGCCCTGAAGTAAAGATGGGCTTTAAGCCAGGCCTGAACTGCAGGAGAAATCCATTTGAGGCACACAGAGAGGGGAAGGTGAAACTAAAACTCAAAATTTTGTAGCCAGAAACGTGAGTAAAGCTGAGCTTCAAACCAGGCCTGAACTGCAGAAAAAGCTGAGGGGAAGGTGAAACTAAAACCCAGAATTTGGGTGCCAGAAATGTGGAGTAAAGCTGGGCTTTAAACCAGGACTAAACTGCAAGAAAAGCCCCTTTAAGGCACACGGAGAGGGGAAGGTGAAACTAAAATTCAGAATTTGGATGCCAGAGCCCTGGGGTAAAGCTGGGCTTTAAACCAGGCCTAAACTGCAGGAAAAACCAAGTGGAAGGTGAAACTAAAATTCAGAATTTGGATGCCAGAGCCCTGGGGTAAAGCTGGGCTTTAAACCAGGCCTAAACTGCAGGCAAAGCCCTTTTGAGGCACACAGGGAGGTGAAACTCAGAATCTGCAGCCAGGGCCAGGCTGGCTGCGCTCCCGGCCCTGCTCAGCCCCCGGTCACTCACTGGAAATCCGAGAACATTTCCATCAGATCCTCGGTTTTCAGATGGAGCCAGCCAGGCCTGGCTGTGGAGAACGGGGGGGCAGAGCCTGGGGTAAAGCTGGGCTTTAAACCAGGCCTAAACTGCAGGAAAAGCTGAGGGGAAGGTGAAACTAAAATTCAGAATTTGGATGCCAGAGTCCTGGAGCAAAGCCAGGCTTTAAACCGGGCCTAAACTGCAGGAAAAGCCCCTTTGAGGCACACAAGAGGGGAAGGTAAAACTAAAATTCAGAATTTGGATGCTAGAGCCCTGGGGCAAAGCCGGGCTTTAAACCAGGCCTAAACTGCAGGAAAAGCTGAGGGGAAGGTGAAACTAAAACTCAGAATTCTGTAGCCAGAAACGTGGAGTAAAGCTGGGCTTTAAACCAGGCCTAAACTGCAGGCAAAGCCCCTTTGAACCTGAACTGCAAGAAAAGCCCCTTTAAGGCACACGGAGAGGGGATGGTGAAACTAAAATTCAGAATTTGGATGCCAGAGCCCTGGGGTAAAGCTGGGCTTTAAACCAGGCCTAAACTGCAGGCAAAGCCCCTTTGAGGCACACAAAGAGGTGAAACTAAAACTCAGAATTTTGTAGCCAGAAACATGGAGTAAGGCTGGCTTTAAACCAGGCCTAAACTGCAGGAAAAACCAAGTGGAAGGTGAAACTAAAATTCAGAATTTGGATGCCAGAGCCCTGGGGTAAAGCTGGGCTTTAAACCAGGCCTAAACTGCAGGCAAAGCCCTTTTGAGGCACACAGGGAGGTGAAACTCAGAATCTGCAGCCAGGGAAAGCTGAGGGGAAGATGAAACTAAAATTCAGAATTTGGGTGCTAGAGCCCTGGGGTAAAGCTGGGCTTTAAACCAGACCTGAACTGCAAGAAAAGCCCCTTTAAGGCACACGGAGAGGGGATGGTGAAACTAAAATTCAGAATTTGGATGCCAGAGCCCTGGAGCAAAGCTGGGCTTTAAACCAGGCCTGAACTGCAGGAAAAGCCAAATTCAGAATTTGGATGCCAGAGCCCTGGGGTAAAGCTGGGTTTTAAACCAGGCCTGAACTGCAGGCAAAGCCCCCTTGAGGCACACAGGGAGGTGAAACTCAGAATCTGCAGCCAGGGCCAGGCTGGCTGCGCTCCCGGCCCTGCTCAGCTCCCCGGTCACTCACTGGAAATCCGAGAACATTTCCATCAGATCCTCGGTTTTCAGCGACGAGGGGAAGTCGTAGATCTCGGTGACGTGGCCCAAGTCGCCCTCGCTGAGCTGGGCCTCTCCGTGGCCGGGACAATCCACGCTGACCCTCTCGATGCTGATGTCCTTCACCGTCAAATTCCCCACGATCTGCGAGGATCAAACCAAGGGTTAAAAACCAAACCAGGAGCCAGGCTCCATTCCGTCCCCTCACCTCAGCCAGCCCCACACGGAATCTCCTCCCGGGGAGCGACTCCTTGCCCCTTTTCCCAGATTTCCCCTCAATAATCACCTCTGCCAGGAGCTCTGCCGTGCAGTCGTCCTCGAGGCCGCTCTGCCGTGTCCCCTCTCTGTCCCCTGCAGCCAAATCCAGGCCCCTGCCCAGCGCCTCGGCCACATCCGAGCCCTCCTTGTCCTCCTCTTCCTCCTTCCCGCCGCGGATCGGCCCCGGAGCGCCGGGATCTCCGCCACGGAGCGGCTCCGGCGCAGCCAGAGCCTCACCTGGGCCTTCCAGAACCTTCTGCGGGGGGTCCTGCTCCACCTGCCCAGCGCTGGGGTTCTGCTGCGGGGGAACACCCCGGCCTCCCTCGGAATTCCGGGGATCCTGCTCTCCAGGGTGGGACTGGCTCCTGCTGCCCTCCAAGGTCTGCGCTTCCAGGGCTGGGGGGTCTGTCACTGCCAGGTCTGTCTGAGGTGGGTCTGTCACTGTCACAGGCGGGTCTGTCACTGTCACAGGCGGGTCTGTCCTGCTGCCACCATGGTTTTCCAAAGGCACGGAGCTTCTCCCACACTCCGACCCTCCGCAATCCCGGCCGGATTGGTTCTCCCCTTGCAGCTGGCCCTGGAATTCGCTGCCTTCTGGAATGGTGCTGCCGGCGTGGCTCGACTCTTCCTCTCCTGCCTCGGGTGGGTGTTTGCTGAGTGCAGAAGATGTGGAATGGGAACAGTCTTTATCCCGACTTCCCTGCTCACAGGAATCGCCGCTATTCCCTAAGGATGGCACCTGCTCCTCACACAGAGGATGCTCAGCGCTGCCTTTTCCCGGGACGTGCTCTTCCTTGCCAGGGCTGCCTCCACCCTTGCCCAGCTCCCGCTGGGTGTCCCCGATGGAATTCCTGGGGCAGCTTTCACCTCCTGGAGCCGCGTCCCCGTCGGGCTCCGCCTCGGGGCTCTCCCGCTCCCTCCAATTCGCCTTTTTCCGGATCCCTTTGGGCACGTACAGGGCTTTCTCTGGCTTCCTCCTGGGCGGCCTGGTGATCCTGCCCGAGCCCACGGAGGCGCGGGAGCTGTCCCCGTGGGGGTCCCCGGCGTGGCGCGGCCGGGCGCCCCGGCCCCCCCGGCCCCAGGGCTGCGCCGGGCGCGGCGGCCGGGCGGGGTTGGCCCCGGGTTTTTGGTCGCTCGAGGTCTCGTTGGGAAGCCTGGGAAGGAGGGGATGGTGAGAGGGGATGCGCAGGGATGTGGGGCTTGCCAGAGGAAAAGGAGGAGCATCAAATTCCCAAAGGGAAAATCCCGCTGTTCCTTAGGGTCTGGGAGGTGCCATTGGTAACGGAGACCTTAAATGGGACAGGGTGACTGTGTGCTCGATCCGAGGGCTGGAGACCCTCTGGAGCCAGGCTGAGAGAGCTGGGAATGCTCCAGGGAGAGCTCAGAGCCCTTCCAGAGCCTGAAGGGGATCCAGGAGGGCTGGAGAGGGACTGGGGACAAGGGATGGAGGGACAGGACACAGGGAATGGCTCCCACTGCCAGAGGGCAGGGATGGATGGGAGACTGGGAGGGAATTCCCAGAGCAGCTGGGCTGCCCCTGGATCCCTGGAGGTGTCCAAGGCCAGGCTGGACAGGGCCTGGAGCAGCCTGGCACAGTGGGAGGTGTCCCCAGAAGGTGACAAAGGGTGGCACTGGGATCAGTTTCAGGTCCCTCCCAAACCATTCCAGGATTCCACGATCGTTGTCAGCCCTGACCCAACGGAGCACAGCTCACCTGACAGCAGAGTGACAAATGACTGTCCTCCTCCTCCAGCCCTCTCCCACCGAGAAGCTGCTCAGCAATTCCATGTTTTCCACAGTCCGGTGGATCAGGTACCTGAGGCGGCTGGACAGGGGTGGGAACAGGAGCACTCTGAAAGGAGAGAGGGCTCAGGGCATCAGAAACGTGCAGGAAGGGATGAGAATGATGGAAAAATGTCATAACCTCATCCCCGGGTCATTCCCAGCATGGGATTTAAATCAGGAAAAAGCCAAGCAGGACTTGATGATATTAAAGAGCAGAAATGTCATTCCAGATTTGCAGCCAGACACATTTTACACATCAAATGGAGTGTGGGGAGGCTGGGAATGCCTGACCCCAAGGCCTTGGCCTGGACCCCAATTCCTGCTGTATCCATATGGGAAAGGCTGGGAAGCAGCAGCAGAAAGCTGTGACTGACCCCCTCCCTCCCAGGCTGAGTCTAATTTCATTTCTCTCTCAACAACATCTATCTTATGCTATAACCCTTCTAAATCAGTATTTATTTCAAAATTTATATACAAATATATACTATATAAACCTTCTATCAAACTTTAAAATTTCTCTACAAATCCAGTTCCCACACGGAAACCAGGAATAAACCAAGAATGGATAAACAAACTCCACGTTCAATGTCACTGCTGTCACATGGTTTGTCCCCGAGTGTTCGACAATGGCACAGGGAATTTCTTTGCCAAACACTTTATTAAAAAAAAGCACTGAAACAAATATTTAAGGCCACGACAAGCTGGCAGGGAGCTCAGCTCAGCACCGCCACCCCTGCTCCTGAGCAGCACCCTGGCACCGGCCACCTCAAGGGCTCCAAAGGTCACCGGACTGGGAACAGATCCAGGTGAGCCCAGGATGAGCAAAAGCCACCAATGGCCACAAAACCCCGCTTGAAGGTGTGACCAGGGGAGGGGATCCCACACCCATCCCAGCACTGGAGCTCCGCAGCCGGACCCCAAACGCTGCTGCTTTCACCCCAGAAAACGACGCAAAGCCCGAGGTGCCCGGGTGTCCCTGCAGCCCCCACCGGTGGTGCTGGCCCTGCACCATGAAGTGCTCCAGCTCCTCCGCGATCCTGCCCACGAACTCATCCTCGCTGGGCGACAGGAAAACGCCATCCATGGAGCACAGCGCCAGGGCGGCCTGCGAGGGACAGGGCACACGTGGGGAGAGGGACAGGGCACACGTGGGGAGAGGGACGGGGCACACGTGGGGAGAGAGACAGGAGCAGCCCCGAACCCCCGCCCATGGGTGCCCAGCACCCCCTACAAATCTCACCCGCCTCTGTGCTGACTCCATCTGCACCCCCATATCCCCATCCCTGGGCATCCCAAAGCCCCCTGCCCCAGCCATCCCAAAATCCCCCATCCCTGGCCATCCCAAAACCCCCCGCCCCGGCCATCCCAAAATCCCCCATCCCTGGGCATCCCAAACCCCCCACCCCGGCCATCCCCAGCATCTCTGCACTGCGTTATCCCCCTTTCCCGGACACCCCATCCCGCTCTCCGCATGCCCCTGCCCCCCCTTCTCCCAGCGCACCCCAGCGCCACGTGCTGCCTCCCGTCCCCACCACCATCACCATCATCATCATCATCACCACCCCACCGCCGAGCCCCCCGATCCCCCATCCCCGCCGGACCCACCGCTCCCCCGCCCCCGCAGCCCCGGTGTCCTCTCCGGTCTGGTTCTGGCTCCTCCCGCTCGATCCCCGCTCCTCCCGTCTGACGGTCGCTTTTCCGTTCCCGTCCCGGCTCGTCCCGCTCCCTCTGGGCTCCTCCCGGCCTGTCCTGGCTCTTCTCCCTCATCCCAGTTCTGTCCCGGTTCTTCCTCCCCGCCCGGCTCCATCCCCTCTGCTGCCGGCGGAGCTCCCGGCTCGGCTCTCCCGAGCCCTCCGGGCAGCTCCATCCCGGCTCTCCCCGTCCGGCTCCGAGCGCTCCAGGATCGCCCCTGAGACTGGGGCAGCCGGGGCTCATTTCAGCCTGCCCGGAGCTGCTTTCCTGAGAATCCTCCCGGCCTCGGCTTTCCCGGGACACCACCCCGGCCTCGGTTTTCCCGGGTCAGCGTAATGGCCTCGGCTTTCCTAAGAAACCCTCCCGGCCTCGGCTTTCCCGGGACACCGTCCCGACTTTCCCTGACAATAGGAGCAGGTTTCCAGTCTGGAAGCAAAGTCAGGCAAGACTTCAACCCCCGGCAGCCGCATCCCGTTATCTTCCCCTGAGCTCGTTTCCCCCTTTCTCTGTTAAGTCCATTCTTCCTAAAATTCCTGGGTTTTTCTTGCTGAAAAGTCGCTTTAAGGTCAGCAGTAATTCCCCGTCCCAGGCTGTGTCCCTGCAATTCCAGCTGGGAAAGCAGCACAATTCCACATCACCTGCACAGGGTTAATTCCCACACTCCCTGCCTGCCCCAGCCAAACACATTGAAATCATGGAATGGTTTGGATTAGGAGGAACCTCCAATTTTTCACCTCTATCTGCTGACTTCCACGTGGATTTGATGTTTTTCCTCCTTTCCCTCTTTTGCAAATACCACTTTTCTCAGGCCCCTCTGCTCCTCTCCCAAAAATCCCAGAACCTGTCCCCAGGTCACCCATGGCACACCCAGAGCTGCAGGACTGACGTGGTTTTTGGGGTTACAGAGCAGGGTCAGACACAAATCCTGCCTCAATCCCTGCTCTGGGATCAGCCCCAGGCTGGAAGAATTTCACCCACCCATGTGGAATTTGGGAAAGATGGGAAAAGAGGGGGAGGAGAAGGAGGAAGACACTTCCTGGTGGGATTACAGGGGAAACCTGTGCAGGAAAAAAGGGGAAAAGGGGAAAAGGAGCTGCATCTGCAGCCAGGTGAACAAGGGGGTCTGTGCCAAAGGCAGCCCCAGTCCCACCAGTTCGGAGCTGTTCCCGTTTCCCAGCCTGCCCTCAGGAATGTCTGCAACACACCGGGACTTCTTCCAGAGCCTGGCACGTTTGGGGTTGGCTCTGTCACCACTTGGTCCCTTCTGCTGCTGGGTCAGAGCTGCTGCAGGAAAATGAACGATAATTAAACACATTGCTTTAATTAAAGAATTAAATACAGGTAGTAATGGGACACACAAAGAGTCACTTCACTCTCTTTGTTGTCTTTCCTTTGCAGGCTCACCCTGTTCACTACAGACACACCGAGCTGGCTGCTTCCCCCAATCCCTTTGCAAACCACCCTGGATTAAGCCCCAGAATTTTGCCACAAGCATCAAGAAACTCTTCCAAAACGGTTTTGGGAAAAGCTGGGCGCTCCCATTCCCTCCACAGACACACCGAGCTGGCTGTTTTCCCCCAATTCCTTTGCAAACCACCCTGGATTAAGCCCCAGAATTTTGCCACAACCATCAAGAAACTCTTCCAAAACGGTTTTGGGAAAAGCTGGGCGCTCCCATTCCCTCCTGCTGCCACGCCAGGAGCTCCAAGCACCACACAACACCCTGAATTATAAATATTAATTATAAACATTACAGCAGCGTTCAGATGAACTCAGTCCCTTGAGGGGTTCCAGATGATCTCAAACCAACAATTCCTTATCTAAATTAGGTTGAAAAACCCCAAGATTGTTTTGGATTGACCCAAAATCCTCCTGGCAGTCCCACAGGGAGATGCCGTGGATGCTGTGGAATCCCATCAGTGCTTCCCTAGAAAAATCCCGTGGATGCTGTGGAATCCTGTCAGTGCTTCCCTAGAAAAATCCCGCTCTGCTCCCCTCCCACGCCGGTCCTGCTCTAACTGGGCTCTGTTTCATTGCTCTGTAATTAGCACTGGGCTCTGTAATCAGCACTGGCTGATTTCTCCCTTTGTTTTGGGGAGGGGGAGCTGAGGATGTCTGGGATTCACAGGGATGAGCCGGCTTTAATCAGGCAGGGATCAAACCTCCTTCCCAAAGTCACCGCCGGGGCTGGGATGGAGCCCAGGAGCTGCTCCTGCCCCCTCTGATGAGACAGAAACTTCCCGAGGTTGATTGGGGAGCAGGAGAGCTCCTGGAGAGCCTTTGTGGTTGAAATGAGGCAGCTCCGGAGGAGGATCCGCGATGAAATGGAGGAGGAAGGGAATCAGAGGGAGAATAAAGCAAAAAGGGGGGGAACTGGGCAGTGGAGGAGCAGAAACCAGGACAGGGCTGTGGATTTTCTCCCGTTCCCTCTGGAGGCTCGGACACCCTCATTGCCACGGGCTCCAGAGATCCAGGGGCTGACGCAGGGCTGTGATCCCTGCCAGGACCCTCAGCCGGGCACTGCCAGCTCCTGCCCCACGGCCAGAGCAGAATTTCAGCCACCAAACCCTTCCTGCAGCAGCTCCAGACACGGAGCTGCTCCCAAGCACAGCACCGAGCTCCAGGAAGGGAGCCAGACCTGCAGGATGAGATCCTGGGGACAGGGAGAGCCAGAGCTGAGCCCAGCAGAGTTATCCTGGGAAATCCATGGAATTCCTGGGGACAGGAACAGCCAGAGCTGAGCCCAGCAGAGTTACCCTGGGAAATCCATGGAATTCCTGGGGACAGGAACAGCCAGAGCTGAGCCCAGCCGAGTTATCCTGGGAAATCCATCGCCTCCTTCCCACAGAATCCACTGGTTTTCCATGGCTGGAGGTGCCACACAGCCCAGCATGGCCCCACAGAGCTCCAGGCAGCATTGCCAGCAGCAGTTGGCAACCAGGGAGCAGGATTTGGCCAGTCCCTATCCAGCATCCCCAGGCCAGTGACCAGCTGGATTTGGCCAGTGACCAGCTGGATTTGGGCAGTGACCAGCTGGATTTGGCCAGTCCCCACCCAGCAGCCTCGGGCTGGTGGCCACAGGACAAGGGCAGTGGCCAAAGCCACCTCTCCCCTCAGGCACAGCTGGGTTTTCACTTCCTGACCACGGAGAGGCTCAGGAGACCCAGCCATCTCTGCTTTCTCGCTGAAGCCACCGGGAAAGAGGAATTCCAGCCCTGCCACTTCCATCTTTTGCAGAACGTGAGGTTTTTTAACCATGGGTGAACTGGAGAAAGCAGCAACACAAATCCCAGCTGCCCACCTGGGCTGGGCCCAAAATTCAGCTGCAGAAACAGGGCTGGAGACACCTGGGAATCCACTCTGGGATTCAACCAGGGTGGAACACCCTCATCACCCTCAGCTCCTCAGGCGTGGCAGGAACGTCCCAGCTCCCCTCTCTGCTGGAGACCTTCCCACCGCTCCTTCCCCAGCCTGGCTCAATGGAAGGCGCTGCTGGTGAGCAGGGGAATCCTCCCCAGATAGATGGGGGGTCCACACTCAGGTAGGGTGTGCTGAGGTGGGCAGGAGCCCACAGAGCTCCTCTCCAAGGCCTCCTCGGGGTTCTCCACCTGCAGCACAGTGTTAGCCAGCAGCTGGAGCAGGCTGAGGCTCTGCAGAGCGCCGTGCTCCAAGGTGGAAGGACGCCAGCTCCACACTCAGGGGGTTCCACACTCAGGAAGGGCATTCTGAGGCGTGCTGAGGTGGGCAGGAGCCCAGAGAAACCCTCTCCAAGGCCTCCTCGGGGTTCTCCACCTGCAGCACGGCGTGGGGCAGCAGCTGGAGCAGGCTGAGGCTCTGCAGAGCGCCGTGCTCCAAGGTGGAAGGACGCCAGCTCCACACTCAGGGGGTTCCACACTCAGGAAGGGCATTCTGAGGTGGGCAGGAGCCCACAGAGATCCTCTCCAAGGCCTCCTCGAGGTTCTCCACCTGCAGCACGGCGTGGGGCAGCAGCTGGGGCGGGCTGAGGCTCTGCAGAGCGCCGTGCTCGGAGCTGTCGGGGTGGAAGGACACCAGCTCCACGCTCAGGGGGTTCCACACTCAGGAAGGGCATTCTGAGGTGGGCAGGAGCACACAGAGATCCTCTCCAGGGCCTCCTCGGGGTTCTCCACCTGCAGCACAGTGTTAGCCAGCAGCTGGAGCAGGCTGAGGCTCTGCAGAGCGCCGTGCTCCAAGGTGGAAGGACGCCAGCTCCACACTCAGGGGGTTCCACACTCAGGAAGGGCATTCTGAGGCAGACAGGAGCACACAGAGATCCTCTCCAAGGCCTCCTCGGGGTTCTCCACCTGCAGCACGGCGTGGGGCAGCAGCTGGGGCGGGCTGAGGCTCTGCAGAGCGCCGTGCTCGGAGCTGTCGGGGTGGAAGGACGCCAGCTCCTTGCTGAAGGTCACGGTCTGCACGGCGCTGCCGCGGCACGGGCAGCCCCAGCCCAGCAGGGAGGCGAACGCCCCGCGGAATTCAGCGTTGAGGGCATAGATGATGGGGTTGAGGGCAGAGTTGGCCCAGCCCAGCCAGGTGAAGGTGCTGAGCACGGCCCGGCTGACGCACGGCTCGGGGTGGCAGAAGGGCTCCAGGCAGTTGAGCACGAAGAAGGGCAGCCAGCAGCACACGAAGACGCCCACGATGATGGAGAGGGTCTGCAGCACCTTGGTCTCCTTCTTGAGGGAGTTTTTCAGGGAGGTTTCCCGAGGGCGGTCGGGGCTGCCTGGGCAGCTCCGGGCGTGCCCCGCCGGCCTCTCCAGGGAGGAGATCCTGCGGAGCTGGCGCCGGGCCACGCGGAAGAGGCGCCCGTAGGTGCCCAGCATGACGGCAACGGGGATGTAGAAGCTGATGAGGGACGAGGAGATGGCGTAGGTCCTGCTGAGGCTGGAATCACAGCTCCCCTCCTGCGCAGAGCCGTTAAAGCCCAGCCACTCTCGGCCGGGCAGCTCCGGCTCCTTGTGCCACTGCAGCTGCACGGGGATGAAGGAGATGAGGAGGGACAGCAGCCAAGCCACCGCGATGGTGACGAAGGCCAGGCGCTGTGTCACCCTCCTCTGGTAGCAGAAGGGGTCGGCGATGGCCCAGTAGCGCTCGAGGCTGATGAGGCACAGGTGGAGGATGGAGGCCGTGCAGCACATGATGTCAAAAGCCACCCAGAGGTCACAGAAAGCCCCGAAGGGCCAGAAGCCCAGCACGTCGCTGGCAGCTCTCCAGGGCATCACCAGCACGGCCACCAGCAGGTCGGACACGGCCAGGGACAGCACGAAGAGGTTGGTGACCTTGGAGCGCAGGTGTGGGAACCTGAGCACGGCCAGGCACACCAGGGCGTTCCCCAGCAGCGTGGAGAGGATGAGGAGGGACAGGCAGGTGGCTGTCACCACCCGCAGGGACAGCGGGGAGAGGCTTTGTCCTGCCCAGCTGGTGGCACTGAGCACGTCCTGCCCAGCTCCTCCTGCCGAGGGGTGAAACCCATCCATGGTTCCCGGTTTATCCCGTCCTGCCGAGGTTTCGCAGCTGCTCAAGGCTCCATCAGCATCCAGAGCCCATTTTCCCTTTTCTCCTCCTTGAAGCCCCAGCTGCAACCCAGTCCTGCTGCCAGCCCAGGAAAAGAGCTGGAAGCTGAGGTCTCTTCCAGGTCTCTGCCAACAGGATTTTTGGATTTTTGGAGTTTGGATTTTCCCTCCTGCCTCCCAGCCAGTTCCCTCCTCTGCTGCTCCCGGGAGCCAGAACTCACCTCCGGGGCTGGGGAGGCTTTGCTGTGAATCTTCCTCCCTCTCCTCTCTCCTCTTCAGCTGCCGGTGATCCTGAGCCTGCTGCAGAATTCCCAGATCCCTTCCAAGGCCAGGCTGGATTCGCTGCCGGGAGTGAGAGGGGTCTGAGCTCCCTCTGCTCCTCAGCCCCTGCTCACAGCCCGGCTGCTCTTCCCTCCGGAGCCAAATCCCTCTGCAGCTGCCTCAGGTGGGATCTGCCCCTGGGAGCCGGGAGAGATGTGAATCCACAGGGTGAGTCACTGGGAACTCAGCGAGAGGTTTGAGGGGGAAAATAATCATTTCAGTCAGATTTGAGGGTCCTCAATGCAAATGAGCACAGAAATTGGTGGTGATTTCTGCAGAAAAGGTGCCTGATTTCAGTGCCCAGGCGCTGAGTCACAGCTCAGAGATGACCCCAAACCAATCACTCCTCCCTGCCCTGAGCTGGTGCAAAACTGGCACTTATTATCCACTGCAAAATGCCTTCTCCAGGAAAAAAAATGAAAAAAAACACATCTAAAACTCCTGCGCAAACCTGGAAGTTTTTATTTTGCAAGTCCCACACAAAGCAGCCTCAGATCTTTTTTCAGCACAGGTTACCTGCAGAACCAGTGAGGATACTGATCACCACCTGGATACATTTTTTAATCCTTGATAAACACATTTTACTTTCAGTAAAGTGGTGTAAAGTTGCTTCTCTTTCAAGTTCATAATTATTTCCTTAATTCCCAGCTCGTTCCACATCAGCTTTCACCTCAGGGATAACTGGAAACATTAACCAGAAAGTCAAGATCCTTTTGCAGTCAGGTGTGGAGGTGGCACTTGGGGACACGGGTGGGGGTGGCCTTGGCAGGGCCCCCTTCCCAGCAAGGAGCCGACATTCCCTGAAGGCACAGCCCGGGCTCGCTCCGGGGTGTCCGGGCACTCGCTGTCCCCGTGCCGCGGCCGCAGCTTGCTCTAATTAAGCACCGCTCCAGGCTGGGATTTGGGGTTCTGGGTCCTTTCCTGCTCAGGATACCCCAAGGTCCTGGCAGATCCCTGTCCCCCAGGACTGCTCTGCCCTCTGTGCCCCACCGGGCGTTTCCCTCCCAACCCCGCTCCGGGCACGAAGATTTTCAGGATCTCAGGAACAAACACCGGGATTCTGTCACTGCTGTCCGGGTGAGCAGTTGTGGCAGTGCCCTGTGACAGGGCAGGGTGGCACTGATCTGCCACACAGCAGTGGTGGCACTGGATCTGCCACACAGGGCAGAGTGGCAGTGATCTGTCACACACAGGGCCCAGTGGCACTGGACCTGTCACACACAGCAGTGGTGGCACTGGATCTGCCACACAGGGAAGGATGGCACTGGATCTGTCACACACAGGGCACGGTGGCACTGATCTGTCACAGCACAGGGTGGCAGTGGCAGCTCATGGTGGCACATCCCAAGGCAGGAGGCTCCCAGGAAATCCTTCTCTGAGATACAAACCAGCTCCTCCTCCTTGGGAGCTCCAACATGTAAAATTCTAGAGCTGTGGAGGTTGGCAAAGACCTTCTTACCATGGAGTGCAAGTGTGGCCTCAGCCCTGCCAAGGCCACCCCCACCCGTGTCCCCAAGTGCCACCTCCAGACACTTTGAACCCCTCCAGGGATGGCGATTCCACCCGTCCAGTGCCTGATGTTTTCCATGAAGGATTTTGTCCCAATTTCCAACCTAAACCTCCCCTGGCACAGCCTGAGGCTGTAGGAAAGGATCTCCCCTTCAGCTGGGCTGGGGTGGGATCGATGGGATGGGATGGGATGGGATGGGATGGGATGGGAACCATGAGATGGGATGGGAACCATGAGATGGGATGGGAACCATGAGATGGGATTCCTGGAACGGGATGGGATGGGATCCATGGGATTCCTGGGATCCCTGGAACAGGATGGGATTCAATTTGGAGAATTCCTGTGCATTTTGGACCACTCCTGCTTCAGAAATCCCTGTGAGTTCTGCTGTCCCAAACCGAGCCCAGCAGCTCCTCGTGCTCCCAGGGCAGCTCCTCCTGGGAGATGAGATCTCCTCCCCTGAGGAAGCTGCATTATTTGATCATCAACAGTTAGCAGCTATTTTCTTCCAGGCTCAAGTTAAGCACTATTTTAAACAGCTCTCCAGCATGAAAAGATTCGTTTGGTGGCAATTCAGCTCGAAGTTTTTATATTTAATTTCCTCACCCAGCAAGAGGCTGCCCTTGATTTCCTTTCCCTGCTGTCTCACCAAAATATCCTGAAAATTCTCCATTCAGGCACCCTGATTACATCCCCCACTCTGCATCAAAGGCAGAAAATTACCAGCCACTCCAAATAAAGCAGCAGCTGCTCGGGTTTAACTCCTCAGTGTCACTTCCAGCACAGCTGATGCATCCAGGATTACAGGGGAGTGTTTATTCCTGCAGGAATTTCCAGGGAAGGGACAAGTTCTGCGATCAGGGAAGAAAGGAGGGGGAGTCAGACTTTAAAAACAAAAATCCAGGTTGTAGGTGAGACCTGAGCCCTGTAAAAAAATCCATGGGAGCTCTCCAGGGATCAGATCAAACCTCAGCATCAACAGCCTGGGGATTCCAGGTTTAGGCAGTGTGGTTTTAGAGGGAAATTTGGTTTTTTATACACCAGGCCACTCAATTTACATCCATTGTCTTCAGGCAGAGGGAAAACCAGTACCAGGCTCCCAGTCTGGGCTGCTCAACTACAATTAGAACAAGAAGCTGGGTGAAAAACTGCCCCAAAATCAGCTTTAGGAATTGCCTGGTACAAAGCCAAGGGGTTCATTAGAACTGATTTCCTTTTCTCCTGGGACTGTGAGCCCTCAAAGTGCAGGTCTGAGATGCAGAGTGATAAAAAAGAAGGGGAAAGATAAGGAAAAGCAGGAATTGTGTCCAAAATGACACCAGGAATGAAGGCAGTGCCACCCAAAAAGCAGCAGAGCCTGCTCAGGAAAACCAGACAATTATTAAATGTGGGAATATTTAATATTGGGCTTTTTAAACTCAGGGTAAAGTCAGGGGGAGCAGTTGCTCAGTCTGGGTTTGGATAAAGCAGCCCAGGACTATCCCTGGATCCCAGCACAGCTGGAGCAGCAGCTGGGACAGGGACAAAGCACCGGAGTCCCCAGAGCCCCTGGGGTCCCTCCCCTCCCCTTCTGTCACACACAGGCAGAAAACACCGAGGTTTTTCTCCCATTTACTTCCAGAGGAAAGGAATACAGAGCTTCAAGTCATTGTACATCATTCCATGGGGGAAGTGAGTGCAGCCTCCCCCTCCCCTGGCAGAGCCTGCACTGGTGAGCGGTGACAGAGGGGACACAGCCCCTGGGGACACCCCCAGTGCCACCCTGGCCCTGGGCTGGGACTGAGCGGGCACGGAATGAGCACCAGGAGGGGAAACTCCAGCTCATTCCCATTGTCCCAGGCTGCCACTGAGGATGGGGTTGGAGAGGCAGCGTGGAAGTGCTGGGATACATTCCCAGTGCTGTGAGAAAACATTCCCAGTGCTGTGAGAAAACATTCCCAGTGCTGCTGGACAACATTCCCAGTGGTACTGAAACACATTCCCAATGCTGTGGGAATACATTCCCAGTGATGCTGGAATAAATTCCCAGTGCTGTGGGAATACATTCCCACTGGTACTGGGATACATTCCCACTGCTATTGGGACACATTCCCAGTGCTGCTGGAATAAATTCCCAGTGCTGTGGGAGCACATTCCCACTGGTACTGGGATAAATTCCCAGTGCTGTGGGAGCACATTCCCACTGGTACTGGAATAAATTCCCACTGGTACTGGGATACATTCCCACTGCTATTGGGACACATTCCCAGTGCTGTGGGAATACATTCCCAGTGCTGCTGGAACACATTCCCAGTCAGAAGAGGGGCACAGGGCTGGTGATCCATCCACAGGCAGCCAGGCACTCCCCTGCCACGCTCAGGAATGCCAGGGAAGGGCACGTTCCCCTCCTGGAGCTCTGTTTTTCAGGGATTTGGGCTTCCCACGCTTCCGTGTGCACGCGAGGGTAAAAAGTGACCTGCAAAAGATGAGGGGTGGGCTCAGCTGTGGGGGGAGAGGCAGCCCTGGAGCAGCTGCAGCTCTGGTGCTCAGGGTTTTGTGCATCAGAAACATCCACAGGGGCTGGTTTGGGGCTTTCTGGGGACACACAATCCTGTGGGAGTGCAGGGCCAGGGCTGAGGGCAAAGCCAAGGCTGTTCCATGGAGCTCTGCTCTCCCAAGGGATCCCTTCATTTCCCACCCCAAATCCCCCCGTGGCAGTTCAGAGCCATCACCCTGCAGCTCCCAAGGAGCTTTGCTTACAGGGGTGATACAAAAATAGCCACCAGCTCCAATTTCAAGTGCCAGCAGAAAGAGGCTGGATGGCAATGCCCAGCCTTGGCCACAGGAGCCTGAAACTCCTCTGGGGGAATCTTTTGCAGGTCTCCCTTTTAAGGCCTTAATGTCATTACAGAGAGAGGGATTCTTTTGTCTTGTGCTTGCCATTGCCGCCCTCCCTGAGCAGCACCAAAATCCCCCCAAACTGAGCAGTTCCAGTGCCTGGCTGTCAGTGCAGGATCCAGAGGGAGGGACACAACAAGCACCAGGTGCTCAAGCTGCTGCAAGGGCAGGACTGATGTGCCAAGTGTTCTAAACAACCACACAAACAGCCAAATGCTGAGCCACTGCAACGCTGCTGCTACTCAGATTCTCAACATCAGCCACAGCAAAGGAAGAGAAATCAAAATCAAACCCAAAACTGATCACTGGTATGGACACAGAAGAGTTTATCTTGGCTGGAGTTGTGCTCCCAGGAGGGAAGACTGGATGTGGCAGTGACTGGGGGCCACGAGTCAGACCGAGAGCAGATGTTGGCACAGAGATGACAAACACCAGCTGGGGCCAGGTCCAGAGTGGATTGTCACGGCAGGAGCTCCTGCTGCTGAGCAAAGACAGATCCAGGAGCACAGGGGGTGTCCCCCTCTCCTTGGAAGTTCTGGTCATCAGTTAAGGAACATTGAGACACTTCCCAAACTGCAGCAACAGGATTCTGTTGGCTCTTCAGAGATTCAGTCCCAGAGCTGTTTTGGGTTCAGAAGAAGCAGAGGGAGTCTTTTGTGCCAGATCTGTGAAGGGAATTGCAACAGAGAAGAGATCAGAACTCATCACACACATCCACAAGCAGCCAATACAATTCCAGAGTGCCCAGGTGCCTCCCTGCTCTGCTCCATCCCCTGGGGAGCACACGTTCCACCCCCCTGGAATCACACATTCCATGTGGAACAGGCACTGGAAATCTCCAGGGAATGCCTTGGAAGTCAGGGTTACAACTTGCCCAAACAGAAGGAACACCACATGGCCAATCCTGTGGAATTGTTCATGACCAGATTCCCAAAAGGAAAACAAACTGTCCAAGACAGGTGAAGGGAAAGCTCAGCTCAAGCCCATGAACTCTGGTCATTCACTCTTACTAAATCACAGGATATCCCGAGTTGGAAGGGACCCAGAAAGATCATTAATGAATCATAAGACATTATTTATTTATAATTCTTATTACTCATTTCCTTATCAGTAAATGAAGCCCAGTTTAAGCAAGTCCCACACAAAGAGCATCTTCCAGGGAAGATGCTGAGTGCTGGACAAATACTCCTTTAAAAATTCTGGTTTATCCCTTCCAACACTGCCTGGCCTTGTACAACTTCATTAAATCTAAAAAAGCAATTAGTCCAAGCAGCAGCTCCCTCACAGATCCTTCAGCTTTCCCTCCACCCCTGGCAAAGGATCCAGGCACAATTCCCAGCTCTCCCAGGACTGGGTTTAGCTCTGCAG